GTAACAACCATAGGTTTATCTCGAAAATTGAATTTTTTAAAAAAAATTGATTCTCGGAGGGGGGGGGTGGCGGCCTTAATTTCATTGAGTCCTATTTGTAGCCATCACGTGAAGTCGAACAGTATCCGACAACTGGATTGGTTCACTCGATTATTTGAGTCACTTAGTTTATGTATATATGCAGATTTTCTACGAAAAGAAACACTTGAATGTTTTAACATGCATAAATTTTATTCATGCACATACTACTAACTTCCATGCTTGTGAACACAGACATTACATAGTACTTGATACACTCCCATGAACGGTTTTTATTTTCTTGGAATTTTTTTAATAACCTTTGTCTTGGAAATTCAATTTATACTTGAGTATTGAGAAAAGATCTTCTAAGAAGTAAATATTTAACTTCGAGACTATGAAGCCAATGCAGAATTTATATTTTGCTAATGATAATTTCGTCACTGTCATTAAATATATTTGATTCAAACTTTATTTTTTGTCTGTTTATATCAGTTTATCTTTTCAACTATAATCTTATATATATATATTATTTTTTTATTTTGAACTAATAAATCAGTTGATAATAAGAAAATGTTGAAGTGTCCATTCTTTACTTAACACATCATATTTAACATCCGTTATATTGTAAATCAAAACGTTGAATTCGATCATTATTTTGATCAACAACATACAAATTATGATGAATATCGAATTTCAATTGAACTGGATAGTTAAGTTGAGTATTACTTATACCAGCAAAACCAGTACCTATAATAAAGAAAAATTTTTCTTTACTTATTTCGAATATTTTTTTTTTTTTTAAATCTATTTTTACCTGCAATTACACGACCTTGTTGTGCATTAACTAACCATTGAACAATTCGATGATTTGCACTATCTGCAACGTATACATTGCCACGTTGGTCGATTGCGACACCCGAAGGGAAATAAAGTTGAAATAAGTTTTGTCCAAAATTAATACCACCCGCTACTGTAATACCTTGTTTGGAATTAAAATTAAATTTTTGTACTCGATGATTGCGAGAATCTGCTACATACAGTGAACCACTTGTCTCATCAACAGTAATACCTAACGGAAGATTAAGACTAACGTGATTCGAATTAGATGTTCCAGTACCAACGACTAATTCCAATGACTTGTCTGTTAAGTTCAATTTTAATATACGATTATTTTCAAAATCAGACAGATAAAATAATTCGCGCTTTCTATCTACTGACATATAATATACAGAATTAATTTGGTTTAAGGCTGGTCCAGCACCGTATCGACCCACAACGGTAATACCGTCGGGTGAACCTTCAGTCGTACTTAATGGAAAAGCAAGTATGCGATAATTGCCAAGATCGGAGACAAATAAATGATCTTTCCAAGCTAAAAAATAATATAAACTTTTAATAATATATTCAAAAATTTTATGCTCGTTTCTGAAACAACAGTTATAGGTGATATAAATTTGTCTTCTATTTAACTTTAATTTACTTCGATTGATTTGAAACAAAAGAAAATAAATTTTTCTTACCTACAATAGCAGCTGCATATTTAAATAAATTATTCCAAGATCCCAGAACACCTGTACCAGCAACAACTCGTCCTTCTGTCGCGTTGACTGGCCAATAAACAATACGATTATTGCCGGAATCAGCTATATATAAGTTACCATTAGTATCAATTAACATATCGTTCGGACTTTTAAGATGTGATCGTGAAAGTGGATTTACACGATCAGTTGATCCAACAACAGTAATAGCTTGACTCTTCCAAGTAGCATTTTCTGCACAAAGAGGATTTAACAAAACTATGTGTTCAAATTAAAATGGTATATATTTAAATAAATTCAAATCAAATAAAAATAAAGACCTGTTTGATTACTTCTTGATAAACCATTAGTGTCAATATTAGTAGGCAGGACTAAAAAAATTTAAAAAAAAAATTTTTTGATAATTTCTGTCATTATACAATATGCTTATTTTTTAAAATAATAAGAATAAGTTATTTTTCAATTAATAATTGATTTTCTTCAAAATTTTTGTTCAACACATTAATGTATGATAATATGTTCTGTAGTTTCTTTGATGACAATGTAGACTATTCTCTATCATAGGAAAAATAAAAGTAGTTTTAATCGAAATGAATTAGAAATTTTATAAAAATGATTATTGTTTTCATTTGCAAGGAAATTTAAGACTAACTTAATGACATTGTCATCGTTGTCGTCATTATAATCACACATTGTTCATCATCTAGAAAGAAAAATATTGGAAAATGACTTTGTAATTCTTATTCTGCTATTATAAACCTTTGATTGAACTGTGAAAAGCAATCGGCAATAGTATGACTGCTATTATGCATACTAATATGGCTGAACCTGCCAAACTGGCTAATCCAATATGATGATAATGCCTCATCCACCAACGTAACAAACCATTTACCTGAACTGTTACTTTTTCTTGTTGACTTACCGACTAGAATGTTTTCATATATCAAACAAGAAAAGATTTATTCTTGTTTTCTTCATATTAATTTACCTGAACATTAGTTGACGTTAGTTCTAACATAATAAAAATTGAATTTTTATCTAGAAAAAAACAAAACAAACAAATAACGATAAATAAATACGTATCATATTTTCGAAATATACTGAGAGAATCAAATAGAATTAAACATTTGATACTAGTTTACAATCATAGTAAGGGGTTGAATATAGTGTGTAAATTGTAGGGGGAAGATTAATCATCGTCTAATTGTAGATGTGAATATATTTCATGCATTAATGTATCTTATTTTACCTATGCTTATCATACTTGCATATATTCAATAAATTTATAATTTAAGTTCCGCTAAAATTGTCTACGAGAATACAAGTTATAAACTAAACAAATTTTTATTACATTAACTAATGAAAATTTTTCAAAGAAAATTGACGTTATTTTTTTTTTGCAGGAAACGTTTTTATTCTTTACAAGTTAATAAGTTATTCTTTCTTTCTTGAAGTATCTATAGCAATTTTCTATGCTTTTTTAAATATAACTAAAAACAAAAGAAAATTCTTTTTTTATTAAAAAAAAAAACTAATCAACATACTTTGGCATAAGAAATATCGAACAAACTAGTCTACTGCAATATCATATTTGTTTTTCTTGATTCTTAAAATTTCATCTGTTAATTGCAACCCATAAATAGCATACTATTTAATAAATTTCTTTTTTTTTTTCTTTTGAAAAGTCAGGTTTTTTTCTCTATTTACTTAAATTAGCATTGCTATAATATAAAGTTCTTTATTATCTCAAATCTTTTAAATATATATATATATGATTTGGATACGTTATAAAGCCGATCAAATTCATCCAACAGTAGGTATTGAATCAATTATCGTAAATAAAATATTTTAATCAAATATTATAGTTGGATTCTCTTCGACATACTTATTCACAACATCAAAAACGTGTCGAAATACAAGAAGATCTCTCTCAACATAAAACAAATTGGTATTAAAAAAATCACTTTTTTTAAAGTTTAATTGAAAAAGAAAAATTTTATTCATAGGAAAGTCATCGGTAGTCTCATATCGCTCGTTACATTTGTCACATTATTCTTTGCAACAATTGTTGGAATACCGATTATTTTAACGGAAATAAAAAGTAAATTTGACATATAAATATAAATCTAATATTTGATTGAATATTCTTCTTTGTTTTATATAGAAGAATCGATCTGTTCTATGACATCCAATTGGATTCAATATTCAGCGATAAATGGTAAGAAAATAACTCACTCAGGAATCACATGAATGAAAAGTATTAAACATAGATTTGCTTATTAGGAGGTATACACCACCGTCCAGAAATTTGGAATTCAAGTAGAATTCAGTTTTTGGAATACACATATCGGGATTGGATGTGATAGTCTCTGTAACCTTGTCAATGGATTTGTTTATGACACTGTTTCGAGTCACTCTCTTTATAGACTCTCTTCAAGTCTTCGAATCATACTTCAATCAGTAGTGAGACGATGGATAGTGTTGAGTTTTAAGACTCGTATCAAATAACCAGAAAAAATAGAGTTTCAGTTGTTCAACAATAGAAAACAAAATTGATAAAATTTCTATAGAAAAACCAATTTCTTTCCACTTTGTGGTTCAGTCATCTACTACTGACACAACATTTTCTGAATGCATAGGCAATGGAGTCACAAGTCCTAAGTAGACTCGAGCCCATCTTATGTGGAATAGATAAAGGCTTGAATAAGCTCTAATTAGAGTAAAAATTTTCTAACATTGTTTTATTTTCATTTTCTTATGATAAATGATGTATTGTCACAAGATCAAGCCGCATTGTATCTACTACCAACTCAGTTGATATTCAATTAGCATAGACAACAGAACCACACGGCTTGAGAAAGCAAGACTCTATCCTAGATGCACACTTCGTACCAGGGGCGTACCCAGGAATTTTCTGAGAGGGGTGCCCGACTCATTATGGGACTAGATACTAGCAGAACACTTACATTTGTTTCCCGAANGAAAAAATCTTTTACCCGTACCCCCCTCCAGGCGTTTTTTGGCTGAGGGGGGTGCCCGGGCACCTGAGGGCACCCCCCCTGGGTACGCCCCTGCTTCGTACTCTAGGATCTAATGAAATGAAGCAAATATTCTTCACTAGAAATAAAGAAGAATTGTACAAAAAATCTGAGCAATAGAATCTGTCGAAGTTTTCGTTTGCCTTTGGTGGCCAAAGTTACATGCCTACGTAACATTTTCAACAATGTAGAATCTCATAGTACAACATTTATTTCTTTGGTGAAACATTTCTATTTCGCCGTTAAATTTCTCCTTCCGGTAAATCATACAAGTATCTTTTCTTTTGGAGGTCACATTTTTATGAACATAAACGTTCGCATGTTTATTTACACAAGTTGTGGCGAATGTTTTTCTGATCTTCAATACTGTTATATATGACAAAATTTGACTTTAATAAAAGAGACACTAACTATATTTCAACTAAGTGGCATTCAAAAACTGATCTTCCCTCATTCTTAACTCTCAAATGAGAAACTTACAAAAAAATGTTTAGCCTTTGCCTGAAAATACTGCAAAACTTTGCATAATTATTGATAATTTCTATCCTTTGTATTTTTCAAGATTCTATACAATTGTGTGCAGCAACTGCAGTATGGAATCCTAAAGGTATCACTGTTGCTGGTATAGCTGGTGGAATACCATCAACATCACTTGACGGTTTACAGTATCCTACTGATATATATGTATACGGCAATGGAACTCTATTAGTAGTCGATTGCAACAACAATCGTGTTACTAAATGGGATCCAAATACTACAGTAGGAGTACTAATAGCGGGTACTGGTGCATATGGTTCTTGGAGTACCTTACTTGCTAAACCGGCAGCTCTTGCTGGTAGGTATAGAATAAATATATATATATGTTGTTAAACATTACTGAAGCATCTTTTTTCTAGTTCGAGGTGAACAACTTTATGTTTCTGATCTAGAGAATTATCGCATACAGGTATGATTTCATAATACAATATCTTCTCGGTTTCTGTACAGCATAGTTAGAAGAGATTATTCGATTTTAAAAAGTTGTTTGTATAAACACTGTGAAATTAAAATGTGAAACACAATAGACCTGAAATTCATTGTAAATCAGAGAATTCTGTGACATATACTTTGATTGATGACTTTCAACGTACTAATATGTGCGTGATGAAAAATATTATTCTTAATATGTTATAATTAGTTTGGCAAGGGATCCAAAGACAGGTATTTTGAATTCAATCTTCTTACATAATAGTCCCATAGAAGGCTTTAATTTCGAGGTTAAGTGTGTCACAGATTGTGATGAAGAAAGGTATCACTAAGGTGCGCACTATGATGTGCGTGTGATGGATGGAGGAGGCTCAAAATTCTATTCTTATACTTCAACACTTCTTTTAGATAACAAAATATTCAAACATTGTGATTAGAGAAGAGCGATTATAGTCAATTATCCAGAAAGAAAAACAAAATAGAATTCGATTCTTTATTTAGATATTTCCTCTTCATAGCCATTTAAGTTCTCCAGAAGCTGTAACATTAATCGGACGTTATGGTCAAGGTTCTGATATAAATCAAATCGATCAGGTAACCAGTTTAATAGCTCCGGCTTTATATCCATCATTATTATATATGGCTGATTCGAAAAATCATCGAATTCTTGTTTGGAATTCAGAAACAGATACTACGAAATTAATTGCCGGTGAATCAAACACATTTGGATCTGATTCAACACACTTATACAATCCCATTGGTATTGCATTAAATGAAAAAACAAATTCATGTTATATTGCTGATAAATCTAACAATCGAATACAAAAGTACGATATAAATGAACGAAATTCAATTGTGACTGTAGCCGGTTGGGGTCAACTTAATAATCCATACGCCGTACAACTTGATCCATCCGGTACTAATATGTTCATTGCAGATACATTCAATCATCGTATTTTAATATGGACAAATGGTGCTCGACAAGGCCGAATTATTGCTGGTGATAATACACCAGGTAATAGTGCCTTTAAACTTAATAATCCAATTCAAATTCGATTTGATTCAAATCATAATTTATATGTTGTTGATACTAACAATTCTCGTATTCAACGTTTCGATCTTATCTCGAATGGATGTTAAGTTGAAAATGATATAGAATTTTATTTTTGAACATCATAATTATATTGTTTTTTTTTTATAGTCAAAAAATAAAATCTTATATCTTATATTAATTAGTTATATTGTTTATTCTCAACAAAGAATAAATTTTTATTATATTAGTAACAATCATTAAAATTTTCTTTGTGTACAAACATAGATGCATTGTAATCTTACGAGCCAACATATTTGAATGTAGCCTTCTAAGAATAAGTTCAAAAGCATTTTATCTGTTATAGATCTCGATGAATATCAATATTTTAACTGCCTGCATTTCGATGTCGAGAAATAAAAGTATCTAACTTTTTCATTTTTAGATTCTTTGTTACTACTTTTGCAAAATCAAGCAGTTTTTTTTTAGGAAAGTACCTTGATTAACATGAATCGATAGAGAGGTATCATTTCGATATCAAAAATGAAGATATCATATCTAGTTTTTCAACTTAACTCTCCATCTACGGTGTTTCTATGATTTATTCAAGTACTAACCTGTTTAATGTTGACTTGAATTGATAATTTCCGATGTTCTCTCTCGAATGGTGAAAACTTCAGATCTCTACGTCATTTCTATCAACAATTTAGTTAAAAAACAGCCGTGTTCGTTATCTTTTGGCATCAATAGTATATTCAAACATCGGCAATATTAAAAAAGAGTCTAAACAATTATTATCACTTCAGTAAATTTTTCTTTTCATAACTTTAACTAAATTTTTTGCTGCAACAATAATGAAAAATACATTGTATTGCTCAATCTTTTTTTTTTTTTGCTTGATATCAATAAATGTTGATGGAAACTTTATTTACTCTTTCACAACATAAGTAAAGTAATAGAAAAAGAAAAGATGTTTTGAAATTGATAACCGTCTTTAAATTTGTACTGTATTTGGTGTAAAAATTTCATTTAATTGTTGTCTAAAAAAAGAAAAAGGCAAACAAATAAAATATCTTAAATAATAAAAATAAACAATTAATTAATTACGAGACACGAATAAATGTTGTACGACGACTAAGTTCTTTTAATTTACTAGCGCCTACATAAGTACAACAGCTGCGTACTCCACCTGAAAATAGATAATTAAGTTTTTTATCTAAATTTCATAAACATATCTACCTAATACATCTTGTGCAGTGCCAAAAACACTTCCTCGATAAGGTACTTCAACTGTTTTACCTTCTGATGCTCGATATTCTGCTACGCCACCGGACTACAATCAAAAGACAGTAAAGAAAACAAAAAATTATCATAAAATTTCGTTTTTTACATGTTTATCCATAGCTGTTTTTGATGACATGCCATAAAAAAGTTTATATTTGCGTCCATCACGTTCAATTATATCACCTGTACCACTTTCATCATGACCCGCCAGCATACCACCAAGCATAACAAAATCAGCACCTAATATTCAAAAACGTTGTAATTTAAAAAAGTGCTTAATTAATTTTTTCTTTTTTTTTTTTTATATATCGAATGTAGAAAAAATTACTTCAACATATCAGACAGTGGAATTTATTTTAACTGTTTGTTTAAAGTATTTATTTTAATTGATATTTCTTGGAAATATACATGCATTATTATTTTTTATGTGATTCATCTATTTTGAAAATTTGATCTCAAAATATATTTATATATATATATATATATGGAGATTTACGAATTGTAATAATATCTGACATAAAACTCTATTTCATTGAAGATGACTTAATATTATATATCAATTGAGGTCGTAGGTAACTGAGTATCTTTGAAAACACTCTTCCAGAAGAAACTAGAATAAATGCGAAAACCTCGGATTTAAATCCGAGTGTTATGTGTACTGCAAAAAGTGAAGAGATATATTCACTGTTTTTTATCAACTGAGCCANGAGTCGGAGTCGGGTTTCGGAATGAAAAAAGTTGACTCCGCAGGTCTCTAATGACGACACCACAACATCATTTTATTTCTTAATAATATTGTTTATTTTTTTTTTATACATATATATCTGACATGGTTGTTCTTGACAAGACAAATAACAAGGTTGCAATTTAATTCTATGCTCGTTTAACAGTATTTTCTGTTGCTTGAGCTATTGTTAATAATTTTTCACCTCCAGATTTAACAATAGTCGTTGTTGGTGTTGTTTTTGGTAGAATACCAGATGTTGGTGTTGTTACTGTTGGTGTTTTAGTTTTCGTATTTATTTTCGTTGTTTTTTGTCGTTTTGCTATTTCTTCTAATTCTGCACGCATCTCATCTTCAAATAGATCTATAGCTGGTTCTTCACGCCAATATGTATAAACTGAATATGTTTCACTTGCAGAAAATGAATCCATTGGTGGAAATAAAAGATCAACAATTTCATGTAAATTTTTATATCTTAAATTAAGAAAACAAAAAAAAAAGAAAATATTTGAAATAATCGAGGAGAAGGAATATTCTATCAAAAAAAACATACGAAGTTGATAATGCTTGAGATAATTTTTGTCGTACAACTTCACCACGTGGGTTTATTGTATATATACGTGTTACTGGTATTCCAACAGCTGTATATGCCCATTGATCCTAAAATAAATTTTTTTGGTTTTTATCATAAAAAATAAAAATAAGAATTTTTTTGTTTTTAAGTATTTCTATAGATTGAAAATACAAAAGTGAAACTTACATTAATTCGATTACCAAAACCAGCATAAAATGGATTTTTACCAGGAAAAAGACTTGCAATATTTTTTAAACATTCTATTTTGAAATCTTCAGGTTTTTTAGCAATAACTTCTCTAAAAGATAAATATTTTTTTGTTATTTATAAAATAATAATATTAAAATTATTTAAAACAAACCGATAAAGTGCAATCATTAATGTATCAGGTGAAATAAGCAATGGTCCAATAGGTAATTCTCGATCATATTGTTTAACTTTTTTTAAGAAATTTCTTGTTATTTGACTTTGTCCAATAGCCCGTGCCGATAAATAAATAAATTGATAACCATTTTCTTGAATAGCATTAAAAAATTCTGCTATACCATCATGTGACCAATCACCACCAACTAATGGTATTATATGACCCAAAACATCTGATCTAAAATTATGATTTATTTACTAGAAATTTAGAAAACAAATGAGAATATATATATACTTAGTTATCGTTCCATCAATATCAGAAATAACAAATTTCGTCATATGATCAAATAAAAATATATTTGATTCAACAGTTGTTGTACCTTGTAATGCTGTTGTAACACTAAATTCAACTTTATTTTTACCTAATTTAAGATTTAAACGTTTTAATTGATCTGATGAAAGTATCATTGTTTTTTTTAATGTTGTTTGATGAGAAGAATGTGTTGAAGGCGGTCGTTGTTGTTGTGCTTTTTCTTCTTCTATTTTAGCTGTTAATTTTCCTACTTCACTATCTTCTTGTTCACTATCATTATCTGTTTTACTATAGAAATAAATAAATTATTATTAAAATAAAATAAAAAATTAGAATTATTTAATTTACGAAATTTTCGAATTTTTAACAATATCATTTGAATCTTGATGAATTAATGTTGTTGGTACAATTTCAGATTTAGCAGCTGTTGCAATAATATCAGTTGATGTAATGGGTGTTGTTATTTTAGGAATTTCATTTTTCATATCAGACTTTTTAAACAAATAATAAATTAGAATTAATTAAAAAATAAGAAAAAAAGTATTTCTATTTTACTTTTTTACTATAAAAAGGTAACCACCAACCACCACCAGTTGTACGTGGTTTTATTTGTGCCATATGTTTTTCTTGTAATTGTTCAACTGTTTCAGTTGGTAATTGTTTATGAAAAATACTTGTCGATATTATAAGTGCTGAAGCTACATTCCAATTATAATATCTAAACAATAGATTATTATTATTATTATAATCATCATCATATTTTATATGAATATAAAATAATAACATACTTTCCATTAATGCGTACAACTAAATTTGGATCATTAATTATTGATGGATTGCAAGCAAATGTTTCGAAAGTAACAAGATGTGTATTGAATACTTCATCTGTAATTAAAGATTGTTTATTAATATTACCACAAAGTGAAAGTTGAGCATCGCCAAGAAGACAACTAAAAAAGCAAAGATTAATATTATATAAAAATAAAAATATTCTATATGATTTGGTAGTTAATCCTGAACAATCGTCTCTTATATAAAAAAAAAAGACAAAATCAATAAATTTCAAATGTTCTAAGAAAATTCTTCCAATAGGACTAATTTTTATAAAACACGATTTAAAAGGACTATTGAAATAGAAATTTGAATCGATCTTCCCTCCACCAACTGTGACAGATGTTGTTGATACATGATCAAAAACGGTATATTAACTACTTTCATATTGCATTTGTGAAGAATTAAGTAAAATAATATTGAAGCAATGTGTTCAAAAATAGAAAAAAAAAAATTTTTCTTGTGATTAGCAAGAGCAACTACATCCTATTTCGCATTTTAATCCCATAGGAATTGTGCTACCAATTATTTTCTTATAATCATAAATTTTGTACAGATTAACTATTGTTACCGTTTTTTTTCTTTTACATGATTGATTCTAAAAGAGAAATACTGTATCAAAACGATAGAAGAGACAATAATTGATAATATTATATGGAAGTTATACAACAAAAAAAGATTTCATTTATCATTGTAAGTATTTGTTGAATATTATTCAAAGATAATATTTTAATTGTAAACAGATCAAGTTATAATTGTTATATCCTTTCAAAATAGAGACTTTGCAAGGTAAACTTTTTTTTTTTGTCATATGTATTATGACTGAGAAAATTTGTTTAATCTTAACTTTGCAAAGTAGGGTAAGGTAACTGTGCACATTTCTATTTCAAAATTAATCTCATTTAAGGTTTGATGTTCATTGTTGTATACACAATGTCTAATTATTATTTTTCTATAGGAGATTTTATGATTCTGTTTATCTGCCAACTAATGTCCTAAATATATTATTTACTATTATATGTGAACAAAAAATTGATGAATATTTTTATAACTACATACGATGCTTCATGTTCTCGAAATGGTGATTGTGGTATTGAATGTCCTGTTCCAGATTCTTGATCATCATCATTAGTTGTTCGTTGTTGATTTTGATGATAATCTCTATGAAATTTTATTTATAAAACTAAATAATTATTAATAAAATTAAATTTACAATTGTGGTAAATAAAGTGATCGATCAACACATTGATTATTTGTAATATCATCAAGATATACACCTTCTTTTGGTGTACTTTTTTTCGATGATGGCCATAAATATCTAAAAACACTTTGTCGTTGTTCAGGTAATTCACCCCATTTCCATTGCCAACGAACATTTGATGATTGTTGAGAAGATTTATCTAATTCATATTCTGTATCTGATTTTGGACTTGTTGGTCGTGGAGATAGAGCACTAAAAAATATCGATATTTAGTTTTTCTTTAACCAAAAAAAAAAAAAAATAAATCTTTTTACCTTTCATAAGATGATGTTGGTGAATATTCTTCATGTTCATAAAAATCATCTGTACGATCTTCTGATTGACTTATACGAAGACTATTTGTATTTATTGTATCGGATGGTGCTGATTTTGATAAAATTGAATTATCTAATGTATCTGATTCTTCAATAGGTTTCGTTGTTTCATATTTTTGTTCGATTATAATTGGATTTGATAAATTTCTTGTTATTTTTTTATCAATATTATCTAAATTTGGAATAATAAAATTTTCTTCATTATGATTTGTGATATTTAAACCGAGTGTTTTTGGTCGATTATCAATACTATTAGGACGATTTGATCCATCAATAAATGTTGTTAATTCTGAATCAAATTGAAATAATGGTAAATCATTTTCACTAGCACTACGTTTGCGTAAAAGTTTTATTGATTTACGAAGTTTTTCATTATTAGTTGAAGGTATTAATAAATTTGTATTTGTATTTGTACTTGTTGTTATTGGTATTGATTCACGTTTACGTGCACGTGAACGACGTTTTAATGAAGAAAATTGATTAAATGTATCTTGATCGTCATCTTCACTTACTTGTTTATTAAATTGATCAATACGATTAAATAATCGTCGTTTTGGACGACGACGTGTTGATAGAAATGTATTTGAATGAAGTACATCAATATTTATTGTTGGTTTTAATTTTTGATCATAAACATAATTTTCAGTTGATGAATCAGTTTCATTTGATTCTTTTTTATCAAGTTGTTTATTTATTATTTGTGCTGAACAATCAATATTTGATAAATGTCCATGAGAATTTATTTCTGTTGATAATGATATTGCATTATCAGGATCAAGAAATGTATTTGTATTCGATGGTTCTAGATGTCGAATTGGTTGAATAATAGATGTATTCTACATAGAAATAATAAAGATTTATTACAAGAATTTTATTCATCAAACATACATCATTTTCTTCAACGAAAACAGCTTCACCAGCTTCACCTAATTGCATGTATAAATCTTCGACAGGAATATCATTTATTGTTATATAAACCTAAGAAAAAAATAATATATCGAATTTAATAATATATTTATTCTTCATATAGAGTTATTGATTAAAAATATAAGACTAAAGTATTATTGTTTTGCTTTTTCGTCTATGATCCCAAGCATTTAACACTCAAAGCTAAATAGTATATTGAATAGCTAATGAAATTTTCTATAAAATGCATCTCATAACCGAAATTTTCAAAGAGTACTGTCTTAAAGACCAGAAAATCTTAAGACCTTCTCTTAACAAGTAATAAATACATTGATCTTATATTTTTGACTAATACACCATATAGACTAGTAGAGGCTGCGAATGGAAGCACATACCTTTCTTTCTCGAATAGAAGAGTTAACTAGAAAAACTGCTGTAACAAAATTTCGCTTACACAAAACTACATTCAATTTCATTTATTTCTATTGAAAATCAACATTACTATTCATTTTTTCATTAAAAATAAAAAAAGTACTTTCACAGTTAAATTATAATTTTAAAAATAATCTAATCTAGAAACAAATACAAAATCTTACATTAATATATACTAAACATCGAATCAGCTAGAGCAAAGATTCTTTTTACGCAGTTATACCTTTTCTTACATCAAGCATGTTTGATTCAGATTGTAGGCGAACCTACACTCACTGACCTGCAACCTTAGACTCAAAACTCTAAATGGGGTACATATGACAATCCTAGCGCTGTCGCTAGAATATGCATAATATTATATTATATATCTTTTATAGATTATTTCTTTACGAACAACTAACAAGCAATTTTTTTCTAGGAAAATTTCTCAGATATTAATAAAATAATTGGAGAATTTTGAATCAATTGACTATCTTACAATTTAAAAGATTTTATTTTGTTAGATAGAAACTAAAAGATTTCTTCATTTACAAACTATGTATATCATATAATTTAAAATGTATGTTTTATTTTGATTAAACATAAGTAAACAAATCTGAGAATTTCCTTTAGTTTATTTACTTTATTGTGTAAACTTTGTAAAACACCTAATTTTCCAAAACGAACATGAAATGGTGTACAACGAAGTGTTCCATCTTCTTGTTGAACAACAATAATATCAATTGCACCTATATAAAAATAGGCATTTAAGAAAAAAAAAAAATATCCAATTAATATTTCATAATATCTACCATTAAGTGTTGACGGATTAATATTTCTATAAGCTGTTGTAATTGTTGAAATAACTTTACGTGTTATTGAAGTCATTTTTATTTAAGTATAATAATAATTCTATAACATTTATAAGTTTTACTAAAAAAAAAAACAAAAAAAAAAGATTTTTATACGTCAATATGAGTTGTAAAATTATGTAATCTAATGACTCATATGACACGTAGCAGTAGATATTACAAAAGAAAATCTTCAAAGATAACAAAACATTCAGGATGATTTCTCTTGTCACTAATAACAACAAGCAATATATTTAAAATGAACACATAAAAACTGATTGCGAGTGTTAACAAAAGCCTTCAATGTTAATGGTAACCAACGAAAGTAAATAGGAACGTTTGACACATGCCCTATTCTCTCATCGAGCTCCTATGTAGTGAAGGCGAAGGTTAGCTATAGAATATACCCCGTTATAATGAAAGAAAGAAGAAAAAAAAGCGATCGGGCAGTTTGATTGGTTTGTAGGGAAGAAATGTGTAAAAACAAAGATCGCGTATCGATAAAAGAACACAAAGAGGATGTTTTAAAGCTATCAGGATTCTTCTATGACCCGATGATCATATAAATAACACATATAAAAACAAAAAAAACAAAACATACCCACAAATTCTTGACCTTCATAAAAAGAGATCACTGTTAATGAATAAAAGAAAATAAATCTACAACAATAAATATTAATTGTATATTTAATACCTTTATAAAATATTTCTTTTTATGATACTACCTCAAATATATATACTATTTACATTTAGACATACGAACAAATCACGTAGGTTTCTTACATCAATAAATAACGTGACTTTTTTTTTTTCCTATGGGATTTTTCCCTTTTTTTTATGTATTAAAACAAAACATAAAGGAATAATCCATTTAGATAGCGAAAAAAAAAAATCTAAGAAGCGATTGTCTAATTTGATTGATTTTCTATTAAGTGTAATGTCGTATTAAAAATAAAAATCATATTTACAACATCTGAAATTGATTTATGTTTCGATAAGATTTATCGTCAAATAAAATTCTATATTATACAATATTATTTTTTGACAATATAATAAAAAAAAATTCTTGATGCGAGATTTGAAACATATCTTTTCTTCCTATTTGTTTCATCATACTTTTTGTTCGGGTTAAAAGTCTTTAGATAAGAAAAGCAAATGAAATGTATTTTAATCTAAAAATAGAACAACTATATTATTTTTCTTATGAAATTTTATTCTTATTTATTTTAAGATGATGTACTTATATATAATTGAAATTATTTTATATTTTTTTTTTCTTGACATCTAATAGATACGATCTTTTTTTTTTTTAATGAAAACAAAAGTAGATAATATTTAATGATATGCTTTTAGTAGTAGACAAACAGTCATGCAAAAAGCATTTGTTTAGTAAAGAAAAAAAAAACAGATGGCAAGTTGAAGAATGACTAATGAGTATGTAGGAGTAAAGACTTTCAATAATCTATCAGATTTAAAAGATAAATTTACTGAAGGTTAGCTGATTATACTTCAATTAATCTTTTGAAAAAAAAAAGCTTATAATAAAAAACTATTTACTTAAATAAGTTTCTTTTTCCAAGTGGAAATCACTGATTTAGTATACTTTAATGTATGTTGTCATCAGGGACCCGATATTTCTATCTATTCTTTACATGAATAAAAATGTGTATTAGTATTTGCCATAAAGCCGTTGAATACGCGAGAGCGAGGGGTTACTATTATCGAGAGAATGAGTAGTTACTAATGTGCACTTTATTTATAAAGACGTCGGAAGCCATGTCATCATGATTCATATATTGATTAAAGAAAAAAAAAATTTTAATATAAATATTTTTAATTGCCGATGAAATAAGAGAGAAATCG